CAATTTTTCAAATTCTTAGCATCAATAAACCTTGTTGCCAAGACCTTTAATCATTGCTTACCTGCCTTGAACTAAAGCCATCTTGCTATGCATATTGCAGCAGTCACCTACCTACATGCACACATGAGCACACAAATTTTGTAAGTTCTGTTCAGAGATGCCACAGCTTCCTTATTTTACCTGAGGAGTCATTTACTTTGGCTCTTCTAGACCATAGGTCTAGAGCCCTTCACCTAATCTCTATTCTTGCCTTCCACTCCTATGACCTGAATGCCTAAACACAAACATCCTACTGACCCTGTCTTTTGCCCATCTTTTTCACTCCCTACTCCCTCTAGACTTGTTCCTCTAATTTCTGTCCCATTTCTTTTCTTCTTTCCTTCAGACCAAAAAACATATTTGTTCTAGCACTTCAACTATTCTTGTCAAACATTTAAATCTGTCTCTCTTTTTTTCTGCTTTCATTGTACACTCCAGTTACCAGTCCAACACTCTGTTTCCTTGGCTACTAGATCCAGTACTGGAAAAAGCTCATGATGATCCAAAGTAGTGCCTCTGTAAGTTCAGAAACCTACCCTCACCAGAGCTCTCAAAGCTGTTTGGCATTGCCACTATGGTCCAACTCAAGGTTCTCTCTTATTCCTTATGGGTGCTATTTCAAACCTTTACAATTTCTCCAGTACCCTGTCCTACCACCTCTTCTCTCTGGATGGAAATACCTAGCTGTCCTTTCTCACCATCAGCAAGACTTATTTGCAAGACCCTTTATCATCTGACTCAGAGGAAGCCATGTTCTTTATTTATGCTTGAAGCTAATCCTCCTACATATACTCTGGATCCCCTTCTCTCCTATTTCAACAGGGGTCGCTCTCTCCCACCTATGCCTCTCTTTTATAAATTCTTTATAAATTCATGCTTGAAGCTAATCCTCCTACATATACTCTGGATCCCCTTCTCTCCTATTTCAACAGGGGCCGCTCTCTCCCACCTATGCCTCTCTTTTATAAATTCTTTATAAATTCTTTTTTTTTTCATTTTTAGATATTTTCCCTCCAAGATTTGATCTGTGGTGGCATTATCCTTCCTCTCTGAGTAATCTTACATACTCCATAATTTCAGCTGCTGCATATATCTTGGAATTCTTCTATCTACATCAACCATTCAAAATTCTTTTGAAACTATAGACTGGTCTACCTAATTACCTTTTGGATAGTTCTCCTTGATTTCTCTTTTTGTTTTTTGTTTGTTTGTTTGTTTCTTCACCAACTGTGCAATGAGTTCTACCAATTTTACTTAACTTTTTCATAAGTGTGTCTCTTCCTCTTTATTAAACTTGTGCCGTCAAGTCACTTCAAACACAAATGTAACAAAGTACTTGCATGTTTGAAATCTTTTAATGATCCTTAACAAGTTTGGTTTAAATGCATACTCTTTGATATAACACACAATGTCCTTCAGGACTCTCACGTTACTCTAATCTTTAGTTTACCAACATGTTCAGAGGAATGCTCATCTAGTGGAAAGTTTTACAAGATGAGGTGGGAGAATCGGAAGGTAGAGGAGGCTTTACAAAGTTCAAATACATTTAAGAAACTAATGTTCTAGTATTAGCTTTTACAGAAGTGGTCCTCAGTTGGCCCCTGGACCAGCCGCACCAGCATTACTTAAAGGTCAATTACTTATAAATGCAAATCTCAGACCTAATCTTGACCTGCTAAATCAAGAACTCTGGGGGTGGGGCCTAGAAATCTGTGTTTTAGTGAGCTTTCCCAGGGATGCCAAAATACACTAAAGTTTGAGAACCACAATCTTAGAGAATAACAATGCATGTTAGCTTAGGAGAGTTGTCAAGAAGTGTGTGATACTCACTAGCATTGGTAGAATTAATATTAGAGAAACGCATTTTGTCAAAAGCTGTTGTAGCCCATCTTACTAGTAATTCTTCAAATACGCACTTGTCATGTGCATTTGCATTTAAATGTCCTATCTTTGCATTTCTCCACCAAATATATCCCTCCAACTCTCTTCTGGTCAGCTTTTGAGAGGAGGTATTTCACAATTATATGCTCATTGAAAATACATGGAATGTCACAAAAATATTTCATAGCAACTTTAAAAGTGTTGCATAAAGTCCTTCTGACATAAAGATATCTGTTATTTCAATACTTCTTTTGCCTATAATGATTCTCTATATATATTGGTCTCTTTTTGGTGGAATATGCTCATATTTTTTACTTGGTATCACAAAAGTGTAGTGTACATCTCATCAGTTTGTCTCTATAAGCTTTCCTGTAGTGAAATAAGTTTTATAAATATGACCACTGAGAAGCTTTCTTCAGCCTACTCTATATCATGGCAACTTTCCACATTCAAATATTCTCTTCCTATTACACCCTCACAGATTTTCTTTCAAGGCTCTTTCCTCAATAAGCTATTAAGAAAATAATTATTAGCCACTATTATAATAATCACTATAATTACAATTGATCTGTCATATTTTTATAAATGTATTATAATGTTATTTGTTTGTTGTTATTAATGAGTTTATAATTACTATATTTTTATGATAAATATTAATTCATAAGGGTTTTGGTAAATATAAATACACTTATTATTAGGTTTTCTAAATTTCTACTACCATTACCTTAATTTTTCCGATCATAAAGTCAAATACTCTAGTAGATTTCTAGGGTATATTAATAAAGTATTACTCAGAAAATTTTAATTCTTAAGAAACCAAGTAAATATTACAACGCACCTGATGGTACCCCATTCTTTTAGCCACGCAGTATAATAAAATGTACTACTATATTAGGTAAAGCCCGATTTATGATACTGTTGTGGTATCCTATGTAAAAACTTAATGATTCAGCATCCAGTTTGGTTTATGCTGAAGCAACATAAAGAATTTGGTGCAAAAAAGTGGCAGCATCAATAATCCTCTAGTGTCATAAAAAAGAATGATGGAAGGGCAATTCGTGACACCTAAGGGACTTTGGAATTAATGCTTACTCAACTGCTTCTTTCTCTTTCCTTTCCATATCACTCTTTGCAGAATGATAAGTGGCTGTGATGTTAGACATATCATCTATGGTAATTTTTTTTCATTTAATCCCTCACTTAAAATGTAAGACATGTAGTTTGGCTATGTACACATCATGATGATTAATGATCATATTCTAATAGATCATATTCTAATAGAACTGTGACCATCAGAACTAATTTTATTTACAACCTTCACAACTCACCAGGTTCTCCAGATTCCTACATGCTTCATAGAGAGAGAAATCTATTGAGTTTAATATATTATGTAAATAATTACATTATTGTAACAATAATAAAGTCCTGTTTACAAAATAAATATAAATTTCAATAAAAATTTTAACTTAAAAGTTGGCAGAGCTGGATATTTCTAAGCTTGTATTATTGCCTTTTTTTTTTCTAAAGACCCACTGATATACCTTGATATACCTTGGGAGTTGAAAGGGGAAACCTACCAAGGAGTTTCAAGTGGTTCTCAGGGATCAGATATACAAGAAAATTCTTAAGACCTTTTGGAGCTTGCTTATAGTTCTTGCTATGTGAAGTCATTTATGTCAGCGACTAATTTTGTGACCATTTGAATTTAGCTCTGCAAGTTTTAACATCTATTGCATTTTGAACATATATATGTCAATGGCTTTTGTAAGTACCCTAGGGAAGCACACACGCCTAAAAGTACATTATAGTGTGTGTGTGGAGGTCTCTAGTGGTAAGTGGATTTACTACGGGGCTATATTTTAACTTAAGTGATAACAATAGGATGATGACTTATCCAAATACATGTTTTGATCAGCACTGGAAGTTATGCATATACAACCATTCAGCAGAAGGTGGCTGATCTTCTGGTCACAGAAGACATGGCAATTGGATATGATAATAGATGGGGCCAAATAAAATCTAATACACATTTTACATCAGAGTCTTTGAGTTTCCTAAGCAACAAATTGAAATTTTCAGATATCCAGGACCTATAAGCTTGTAAATGATTTAGCAAAAATAGTCATAGAAGCCATATGCTTCCCACTTATGTGTATACTGGAGTGAAAGTTATCTCTGCCTATATTTTTTTGGCTAATTTTAAAAAGTAAATGTAGAAGTGTCTGAGAAGAATACCCACCAAAATAACCTTAATAACTTATCTGTATGCTGGAAAGAATTATGTATATTGAGTATGAAATTTATATGCAAAATCTTCACGATTGTTGTTGTACTCTGTTAACCTTAAAGTAAATTCCGATGATCCCTGGTCACATTCTGCTTTCTAGAGGTGAGAGGTGAAGAATTCAGGCAGTGTGGTAAAGTGAGAAGAATTCAAAGATAATTTAAATTAAAAATAACAAAAAGAGGTAGACTTAACAAAATTTTAGTTGACTGGATAAATTTGCGGGCAGGTTGAGAAAGTTCCCGGCAATTCATGTGGCATTTACATATTGTAAAATTGTGCAGTACTTATTTGGTAAACAGGTAGATTTAAGCTCTGCATACTTACTACCAATGTGACTTTGGACAAAATACTTAGGCAGAATGAATTTTACCAGCACACCCACATTCACATACACACACACACACACTCATACACCTTTGTACACACAAAATTCAACCTCTATCCTTGAAAGAAGCCACATTAAAGGGATAATTTCTACAAAATAATTTTAAGTTCATGAACTGTAATAATCAAAGGGAGGAAAAACCTCCATTTCAGAACCAAGAAACGAGTTATGGAAGTTAAACCCCCCTCCCCCTAAAAAAAGAGTGATTAGATATGCAAGTCTGGCCTCTGTGAATTTATCCTATATGATGCCATTCATTGAAGAAAAGAACCCGAGTTTAGTAGTTTTGGCTCACATGATCTAAGAGTTTTTCCATAATCACTTTAATCTTCCTGTTTAACAGTGACATCTAACTCAAGTCATCCTATTTAACCTTTTCTTTTGCATGTTATGTGTCCTTGTGAGCAGAGTAAGAAACAGGACATTCCTCGGGAAGATCAGGGACCGACCACCAAGAATTTGGATTTTTGGCCCCAACTTATTACACTGATGGTCACTATTATTGATGAGGACAAAACTGCCTACACACCCATCCTGAATCAGTAAGTACACCATTTTGGAAATGAATGGATTTTATTCCACTAAAGTTAAAAATGTATATATTTTACGTATAGTTGATACTCTCATGACAATGACAAAGTTTTCCAAAGGTAAGCTGTAAAAACATAGTATTTTTCCTCTTTTATCAGTAAATATCAATTCAGTGATATTATATATTTTTAATTTGAGCCTCATACAGTGTGATTCCTTGGATATGGAGACAAATTTTTCCCAAGATTTGGTTTTTGTTTGATATAAAAAGTATTCTTTTTTTTTTTTCTGGTTTCTTTCATAAATATCCCATTGTCTCAAAAGAAAAAAATGTGCACCTCTCCAAAAAAAAAAAATTAAAAAGAATGCTAAAGACCTATTTCATCGTGGCTTTTTAGTAATAAAGTTTTGTCAAAAAATACCTGCTTTCAAAATAGCTGTGCATATTGGATTTAACAAATTTAATTAAATATTTAATAGAACAAGCCCTTTCCCACAAATTACAACCTAAAGTCTGTGCCTCAAAGATAAGGAAGATGGATTAAAATTTATGACTGTTCTAGAAGAGTCTGTAAAAATCATCATCTTAACAAAATGCCACTAGCTATGAGACCTTGGGCAAATTATCTAATTTTCCTGGGTCTCAGTTTTCTCCTATATAAAATTAGGACATATTATTAGGTGGTTTCCAAAATCTAATCAAACTTTAATGTTGCACATTGGGATTTTATTTCACACCCCCATGTTGAAGGCCATACAAACAAAATAATAAAAGACTGCCAAGCAAGCACTTGCAATCTGATAATTGGAGAGGGTATCCTGACAATATATTAAGACCAGCCTAAATGATATGCATACCAGGGATAGCAGAAATAGACAAAACACTTAGTAGAATGTGAATATATTCAGACTTACTATAGAGATCTGGTTTTACTATTTCTTATTCTCTATACTGGTCAAGACAGTTATGGTCAAAGTTTCTGTTGAATCCAATTAAAATTCCAATTAATTACAAAAGAAAGAAATCTAAATATCCCAATTTTCACCCTTTTCTACCTCTGAATCACCCATTTTTACCTTCCCCAAATTCCTTCTAATTGTCGAGAAAGTGGTCTCATCTTTGATATGCAACCAATGTAGTATCAAGCTGGCCTTTTCACTTTCTTCTTTCTTTTTCCCCAAACCAAATTCTTTTCTTCCCGATGGCCGTGGTGTCTCCTGATCGCCATCTTCAGAGACTTTACTCTTTCATTTTCTTGTTAGGAGGAGAAAGTCTCTCTTAATCCCTGACGTGTCCTCATCTCATCATAGGTCCTGGGAAGCCCTTCTCAGATCTCTGACAGCTTTGTGGAATAGATTTGTTTTCTCATTCATTCTTCACGCCTTTCTGGAGGTCAGAGTAGTTTTCCTAAAGATTGGAAAACCAATGACTGGCTTCAAAACTGTGTGTCTTTGGGCTGGGATGGACCATCTGATAAATGACTATTGAATGAAAACAAACACCTGCTAAGAAATGAAAATCAAAAGTTATTTAAAGGGATTTTCTTTTCAATCAAAGAAATTCCTTACATTTACCAAGTATCTTAAATCAGGATATGACCAGTAAAAGATACATTATAAAATCATGGAATATATTAAAATTTCCCAGATTTACTATTCATCTTATACCATCAAAAATATACAAAGATTTTACTTGACTTTTTGTAACTGTGTTAAAGGAAGTGAAGTAAATTTATTTAGTTATTTATTTAGTTACGGCAAAAATAAATTAAAAATTATGAACTAAATTGAGCTAAGTATAAAAATGAGCAATGACACAAGGAAGGGAATGTTTTTGTTTTGTTTTTAATTTTGCTTTTAATATCAGAGTTCAGAGCCACCTTTTTCTATAAGACTTAGCCCCAAAAAGCTGGATATCTTCTCTGTGTTTGGAATCTGTGTTTTATCATTGTGTTTGCTCAGATTTTGAGGATGCTCTAAAGCTTTTTTGTTTACTGAAGATCATTCAATTTTGTTTCTCACTTAATTTAATTTAATCAATGCCTTAAGTGAACTCATCTGAAGATTGAAGTGTGGTCTTAGTAGCCAATATTGCTTTTATATAATTTGGTGAGATTTTTATTCACATCTGCTTCTTTATTTGCATAATGTGTCATTGTATTTAGGCTTCATTAATCATTTCATTGTTTACTCAGGTTAGTGCAGTGTTTCACAAAGTAAGAAATCCAGACTGCCAGGGTTGGGATCATATCGGCTACTGGTTGGGTTTGCAGATTCTGACCTCATTCCTAATCTATTCAGTCAGAGAATCTGAACAGTACAGAAATCTGCAATATTAATAAAAAGTCCTTGTGTGTCTTATGTACATTCATATATGAGGGCACAGACCAACCTGTGAAGGACATCTCAGTCTAAAACGAGTTTGGGTTTTATTTTGAAGGCAATGAAAACTGCATAAATGATTTTAAAATATAGGACATTTAAAAATATCTTTCAATGTAATCTAGGATTAGTGATATAAATAATCTACTGAATAAAGTTTTTATCATTATCTTGATTTTGAGGAATCATTGTGAGCTTTTGCTTATTCAGATTTGATAAGTTTGTGTTAATTATGGAAGTAACCATGAGGAAAAATATTTCTTCTCTTTTGTTCACTAGCATATATCCAGGCATATATTTGTCGAATGAATGAATCAATTATAGTAAATTATATATGTAGTTGGTATCTGTTCTCCCTATTCATACTCCATTGATTCATTAATGGATTTGAGTATTGTTTTGAGGACTTTTTTCTCAACTTTTAAAAATTATATTTAATAAGTAGCTTTTGAGATGCTTATAGAAATTTTACTTTTTATGGAAATTGAAAAATATTGAACAGAGTAGATTCAGGTATAGGTCTCTCTCTTTGTAACAGGTTTATTGAGATATATTTGAATAAATAAAACTGCACAAGTTTAAAGTGTATGATTTGATTACTTTTGACATATGTAACCAGCCACAAAACCATTATCACAGTCAAGATAATGAAGACGTCCATCACTCCAATAAACTTATTCCATGTTCCTCTTGTAAACTGTTCCAACCAACACTCCACCATCCCCAGGCAACCACTGGTCTGCTTTCTGATACTATGAATTAGTTTGGAAAGTTTATTATTATATGTGAATGTAATTATATGTTATGTATACTCTTTTGTCCAGTTTCTTTCACTCACTACAACTATTTTGAGATTCGTCCATGTTATTATGTGTTTCTTTATAATTCGGAGTAATATTCCATTGTACAGATTTACCACAGTATGTTTATCCATTCATTTAACAATCAACATTTGAATTTTTTAAAAAATTAGGTGGCTATGAATATTTGTTTACAAGTCCTTGTATAAATATATCATTCATTTCTTTTGGGTTGTGTGACACGTATGTATGTGTTTAATATTTCTAAAAATTGCAAAATGGCTTGTCAGCACTTGGTATGATTAGTCCTAATTTTAGCCATTTGAATAGGCATACATTAGTATCTAATTGTGATTTTAATTTGTATTTTCCTGAATCTTAATAAAATTTACCTTTTTTATGTGCTCATTTGCAATTCATATATCTTTTTTGGTGAAGTTTCTGTTCAAATTATTTTCCCACTTCCAAATTTGGATGTTTATTTTATTATTATTGAGTTGTAATAGTTCTTTATATGTTCTGGATAAAGGTCTGTTGTCAGAAATAAATGGTGCATATATTGCCGTGGTTTATGACTTTCTTTTCCATTTTTCTACTAGTGTCTTTTGAAGAGCAAAGTGTTTGTGTGTGGGCATGCATGTGTTTTTTATAGTTTGGGCATTTTGTTTCCTACTTAAGAAATCTTTTCAATACCCATATTTAACTTGCAACACCACATTTTATTTTTATTCAAAATATTATAACATTTACTTCTATGTATTCATGGGGTATGATATGTTGTTTCAATACATGTATATACTGCACAATGATTCACTTAGGGTAGATAGCACAGATTCATGCCCATTAGTCCACCACTTTTCTCCTACCCCCTCTCTTGTCCCCACTTCTGGTAACCATTGTTCTACTCCCTACTTCTATGTGGACCACTTTTTTTGGGTTTTTTTTTAGATTCCACATGTAAGTGATAGCATTTTTTTTTTATTTGACTTGTCATGCCTAACTTACTTCACTTAAGATGATGGTTTCCAGTTCCTTCAATGTTGATGCAAATTATATAAACTGCCCTCTTAGAACTGCTTTTGCTGTATCCCATAGGATTTGGTATGCTGTGTTTTCATTTTCATTTGTCTCCAGGAATGTTTTATTTCCTTTTCGATTTCTTCTTTGACACATTCATTGTTTAGGAGCATGTTGCTTAACTTCCATGTATTCATATGATTTTCAGTGTCCCTTTTGTTTTTGATATCTAGTTTTATTCCACTGTGGTTGGAGAAGGTAGTTGATATGATTTCAGTTTTTTAAAATTTGTTGAGACTTGTTTTGTGACCTAACATATGGTATATTCTAGAGAGTGTTCCATGTGCTTCTGAGAAGAGTATGTATTCTGTAGCTGCTGGATGAAGTGTTCTGTATATGTCTCTTAGGTCCAATCAGCCTAGAGTAGTGATTAATTCTGATGTTTCCTGGTTAATTTTCTGTCTGAGATGATCTGTCCTTTGCTAAAAGTGGGGTGTCCCCAGCTGTTGTTATATTGGAGTCAATCTCTACTGTTAGGTCCAATAATAACTGTTTTATATAACTGGGTCCTCTGGAGTTGGATGTATATATATTTAGAATTGCTATATCCTCTTAATGAATTGATCCCTTTATTATTATATAATGACCTGCCTTAACTTTTTTAATTTCTTTGGCTTGAAGTTGGTTTTATCTGATATATGTGTAGCTATTCCTGCTTTTGTTTGGTTTCCATTTGCATAAATATCTTTTTCCATCCCTTCACTTTCAGTTGGTGTGTCTTATAGGTGAAGTGAGTTTCTTGTAGGTGGCAC